CTCCCTCCCTTCCCTCCCTTCCCTCCCTCCCTTCTTTCCTTTCCTTCCTTCATTATGTATACAGTGTTCTGTCTGCATGTATGACTGCAGGCCAGAAGAGGGCACCAGATCTCATTACAGATGGTTGAGAGCCACCATGTGGTTGCTGGGAATTGAACTCAGGACCTCTGGAAGAGCAGCTAGGGCTCTTAACCTCGGAACCATCTCTCCAGCCCCAGAGCCTCAGCTTCCTTATCTGATTAATGAGGATAAATAAATATATCCTGCAGGGATACTCCTGTAGGACAAGAATGCATGCTGATGTTGGAAAACATCTGATCCTGTGTCTTATACATTGTGAGCTCTCAGCTGATGAGCTTTATATGTGAATGTGAGACAGCAAAGCCAGAGATCTGGATGAAAGTCAGCAGGTTTCTCTGTGCAGCTACTGCAAGGACAAATGGGTGGCTGTCCCTGAATGGAGGGAGTGTTGGATCAAGCTCAACTGACCTAAATATATGCAGATTCACTTAAACACTTCCAGAGGTGTGTAAGGATGTAAGAGGATCCAGCTGCTGCCCAGGCTTCAATACCTATAGTACACATACCCCAACGCCAACAGGCATTGTCCTGACACCTTGTCTGTGGAGCTCTAGGTAACATGGGGCGGGGAGTTTACATCAAGGAGTAATGGTGCCCTCATATCCTGCTCCCCACCCTCTACCCTGCCTCTTGCCTGGGTATCTGAGGGTCTGGCTGCAGGCTCGTGCTGGGAAACCTCCCTCATCCTCAGAGTGGTGCAAGAGATCACCTGTTGATTTCTTTAGACATTCTACCATGCTCTTTCTTGATGCTGGAGCCTGAACTCTCCTCAGAGTCCCTGCCATGCTGTTGTCTGTCTGTCTGTGTTGTCCATGTGTTAATGACTCTTTTTTTTTTTTTTTTGTGGGAGCTGAGGACCAAATCCAGGGCCTTGCACTTGCTAGGCAAGCGCTCTACCACTGAGCTAAACCCCAACCCAATGACTTTTAATAAACTCCATACACCCAACAATCCATCTCAGGGCCCTCTTGAGCCTGCATCAGAGGCCTTTCTAGGGTTCTAAGCAGAGGATACAAAAAGGGATGGCACCAACAAGGGTCCCTCAAGGACTGTCATCCTATAGGTGTTAAGTCTCAGCTCGGGACAAATGGCTAACTGAGATGCCTTTTGACATATCCAATCAGACACTGACTGCCAGGCTCTCCCAGAACCTGTTCCTCCCAATCAGGAGTCCTGGCACCTCAGCACTTCTCACCACCCTCCTTGTCCCCTGCCCTGAACCCCTCCAGCCCCTGAGCTGCTGTCCTCCCCTCAGCTTCTCTTTATGTATAAACTCAGCCATTTTGGCTATGTGCTCTCTTGGCCTCTTAGTCCTCAGCTCGTCTCTTTGCCCATCTGTCTTGCTCTGTTTCCCTCTCTCTCTTGCTCCCCGCCCCCACTCCCTCTCCTTTCATGGCCGGGTCTATTTTGCTGGCCATGTTCAGTCCAGAGTCTTCCAGATCCCTCTGGCTGTGCCCTCCCTTGTATCTACAATAAAAACCTCTTCAGCCATACCTAGGAGTGGTCATGTCTTCATTTTCATTTATCAGGGAGCAGAAAGGAAGGTTTTAGGAGAGTTTTTTTTTTTAAAGATTTATTTATGTATTTTATATATATGAGTGCTCTATCTGCATGTATCCCTGCACACCAGAAGAGGGAAGGCATCCGATCTCATTACAGATGGTTGTGAGCCGCCATGTGGTTGCTGGGAATTGAACTCAGGACCTCCAGAAGAGCAGCCAGCGCTTTTAACCCTTCAGCCATCTCTCCAGCCCAGTCATTGCAAATTTTGCACTTAGAACAGCCCAATCACGTTACAAAAGTGCACACTTTGTAGAATTTCAAAATCAGTTTACAAAACAAACATGTAACCCCCCCCCACCAAGATCATAATATTTTAAGTAATTTTGGGTGGGGCATGGAGTGTGTGTGGCAGGTGCTGCGTGTTGGACAGCTGGCTGGTGATTGGCATGTGGATTGGGAAGAGAGATGTTCAGATGCTGTTCATTTCTAGATTCCCCATGGAGTGAATGGGAGTAAGGGTTTGAGTGCCTGAACCAGGACACCTGGCTAAAAATGCCTGGGAAGCAGAGTGTGGTGAATCTTGGACGAGATCATGGTACCACATTTTGGGGTACAGCATGTTCCCCAACCAACTAGTTTAGCCACACATACTCAATAAACTGATAAATGGAGCCAAATTAATAGTGAAAAGCAGAAGAAGATTTATTCAATGTGAATAAATTCACTTTGGGAAGAGGGACAAAGAGATTCAGTGACTCCCCCAAGCCTGGTTTTTGGGGATCCTGATATGAAGATAGGATTTATTTATTTACATTTTTCAGGATAGGTTTTCTCTGTGTAATTGGAACTCAGTAGATCAGGCTGGCCTGGAATACACAGAGGTCTCTACCCCCCAAACGCTGAGATTAAAGACTTGCTCCATTTCCCGGGGGTGGGGGTGGGGGTGGGGTGGGGGTGGTGTTAAATTTTTTTATTCTTTGCTTTTGTTTTGAGATGTGGGTGGGTGGGGATGTCTGTGTAACCTTGGCTGACCTTGAATTTAGAGATCCACCTGCCTCTGCCTGGGGGGGCTCAGATTAAAGCCAGGTGTCACTAAGCCCTGCTAATTTTTTTTTAAGATTTATTTTACTTTATGTATGTTTTTGCTTTCCTGCGTGCATATGTAACACATGCGTGCTTGGATCCCCAAGAATTAGGGTTACGGGTGGTTTTACATCACGTGGGTGCTGGGAATTAAAATTCCTTCCCTCTGCCAGTGATCTTAACTACTGAGTCATCTCTTCTGCTCCCAGGATAGGGTTTAAATCTTAAACAAGAAGTTCGGAAACCAGATGTAGTCGCTTGTGAATTCCAAGTCTCTCTTTGAAGGTCCATCGGATCAGTTGTAAATCTTTCTGCCAGAGGTAAGTCCCTCCTTTGGATGCTTCAGGCACTTCCTCTCCTAGCAGGAAATTCCTGGAGGAAATAGTGGTTTCTTGGGGTCCATTTTTTAAAAAAGTCCGATAGCCTAGGAGGAGAGCACAACTGTCTCTTTGGAATATATTTATTCCTACCAGACAGGTCGGTTAGAGGGTCCAGTGGAATATAAAAGCAGGAGGTCTAAGCCTGAGCGCCCGCGCTAGCAAAGAAGAAGATAACCCAAAGGGAGACAGAGGAGGAGCAACCAGAGCGAGAGAAGAGGGCAGGAGGCTGCCGCTTCCCCGAGAAGGGTGTCAGCAGGGTTGGGCGAGATCAGGACAAAGCCCTGGGTGGCTAAGGGAGCTAGAAGTGGCTGTGCCTCCCAGGGTCGAAGTGAGTCAACTGCATGGCAGAGCACAGGTCCTGGGTGTGCATTTCTCCCTCGATTCCATAGGCTGAAGGCTGGCAGCCCCACGGGGAGGCGGTCCAGCGGTCTTTGTGTGAACTGGCGGAGGTCCCATTGGATGTGGAGCCCCCACCAACAGCCAAGAAGGAAACGGAGTGGGGATCCTCTAGAGCTCCACGCGGCGGCATCCCCACGGGCTTCAAAAGTGACTGCGTGCAGAGTCCGGGAGTGGCCATCCCAGGGGGTGGGTCACCGGACCCCAGTCCCAGTCCGCGCCTGGAGGCTGCTCCTAACGGCACGCAGATCGCCTCGGGCCCCGGCGTGCTCTGGTGCCCGGAAGCCACGCCGCCGGAGGCCCCCGCTCCGAG